TCCAAGGCATGACTTTTGTGGCCTTTGAATTTCAATTTATGTATTTTATCGTTTATGTGTACTTGGTAGCTTGTTTTCTTCTAAACGTGAGTGCCGGTAATCTTCCCATGCCTAACTAACATTAAGTTTTTTTTACACAAATATGCTAATTACATGGTATTATTATGCAAATGAATCACCATGCCTTGTCATTTACCTGGAGTATGTTCATGTTGTCGTCATCTTGAAGTGCTCTGGCTCTCCTAGAGGCTGCTCTATTTATATTTGACTGTTATGTAACGCCTGAACCAGGGCACCACAGGATGTTTTTGTACAGTGCTGAATAAGCTTGGTGAAAAGATGGCTGATGTTGTAATCGTTAATTAAAGAGCTGTTTAGGAATGTAGTGCTAAAGTAATTTTCAAACATAAAATTCTACAGTGTGCATTTTAAATATGACACGAGTTGAGAAACAACATACAAATAAATCATGTGACAATCTACTTCCCATTGATTATGTTCGTTTCATGCAACTTTCCCGGGTAAACGTTCCTGGGGAGAACACTGAATGATAAGGTTTTGGTATGTCCGTCTCTGAATATTTTATCTGTGATAACTAAACTTGATGTCTTCTTCAGCAAAGTTGCAATGGCATATTCTTTGATCACAACTTATTTGTTTTCAATTCTCTGACGCTTTCACAGAGGCATTATGTAAGTGATAAATCATGCATGTGGAAAGTTTAAATATGATTCAATATCATTTAGGATCATGGCATGGTACTAATTCTGCATACTGGTCCTGGGTTAAGGCTTGCACTGTAGATTACTTTATGTCCATTGAAAATTATCGAGTTATGACCCATCAAGTAAGGCCACATAAATAAGTTTGATTCTTGTAACCCAACATTATCTGATTTTTGCACTGATGCTGTATTTTATGGCTAAACTGGAAGTTGATAATTGGAAGCATCCTCAATTTCTGTTTCTAGCTGCATGCTGGACAAATTCTTCATCCGAAACTGTCATCATTTACATGTACATTGTTATGTGTTATGAAAGTGTCCATTTGCAAAATGCTTCAGGCTGTATAACGGTGTGGACTAACTTACTCTGTAGCATCTTATTGGCAACAATTGCAATTTGAAATAATGCAAAAAAATGAAAAGTTATACCTTCCTACCTATCTTGTTTTGTTTTCAATGTTACCAGAAACACACTATTTATTTTATTTGTCCTAAAGTGTAATGGCTCTGTTTTACTCACAGTCAAAATAAAGTAGTCTACGGTATTCTGCTCGTATTAGTACATTTTTAGCATGGTTTTTTTTCACAAGAAAGAAATCTATGCTTGTTTATATACAAAAATACATCCCAGAAAACGATGGAATTCCTGCATAAATCACCATATAAATGTATTAAAAATATTGCATCAGATTTAACCCTAATCTGGTCAAGTCAATGTAAAAGTACATCAGCCTGTCAGGATAAGGGCTAATACTACATTTACATGCTGGTATAATGTACATATTTCTGTTTTCATAAAAGGTTTTCTTCTCCTATGGGTATTCCTGGTGTATTCAAGTATGCTTGAAATGTGGTGTATGGTTCTAAAAACAGTGGTAGCACATCTGTGCAACTTTTAACAACAGACTTTATCATAGTTTCTCACTGCATGAGTAACCCTATTTGTTCTCTGATCGTTTACTTCATATTAGAGTACTTATAGTAGCTGTGCTTATTCTGAATATATTTATTTAATCTTTACAGCAAATTTTAAGATATTTGTGTACTACCGATATAAATTGTGATTTTTAATTTCTTTATTGTCACTGAAAAGTAAAATTCACTAAATTAAATAACAGTATATCTCATTGTTTATTAGCTGAATTTCAGTGATTTGTAATAAGCCATGGGAAAAAAATACAGTTGTACCAATTTAAAGAAAACAGATTTCTTTGTTTAAAAAATGGTACTGTCCTGTTAAATGCAGTGGGTTGTATTTAAGAGATGCTGAATTTTTCAAGTTACGGACATCAAGTTACGAAAACATTGCATTATAAAAATGTCCAAATTGTAACTTGATGTTCAATTGACAGAACTTTGAGTTACGGGCAACATACATTTTGTTTTTTGTTGAACGTCCACATTTAGTAACTCAACCTGCGAATTTCGGCAACCTAGATTTTTTGTTTTCTCCAATGTTCTATGTTTCCCGTCTGTCGAGGTTTGGTTAACTATAAAGTTTCTAAATTAGAATGTCAAAACAAAATCTATGTTAGTCATAATTGTGATTTATCCCTTCAACAAAAATAAATTTCAAATTATTATATTATCTTTAGATACAATGAGTACCGTACCATAACTTCTATTTGCAGCTACTTTTGATAAAAGATAATAATTTGTAAAGAAGTCTCAAAATGAGGACTTATTTAGTAGTTGCTATTCACATATATTTTGCTTGGATTTTGACCTTTGTTTTATTCACAATCAATTCATTTCATTTCATTTTTGTAGGTTCTTAGTCAGAGTATCATATCTTGAAATTTACAATGAAGATGTCCGTGATTTACTTGGAAAAGATCAACATGCAAGACTTGAGGTATGTCTGAACTCTTATTGTAGTTGTTACTTTGTTTATTCTCCTGCCGAGTAGTCTCTTGTCCTATTAATAAATATGATTGGCATTAGTATCCTGTTAGTTTAATACTGAATATGAAATTTTATAGGCCATTGCACATTTTGTGCACATAAATGTGCACAGTGATTAGTTAGCCAAGAACTGGCTGTTTTCACCCAGGAAGGTGAAATAACAATGCATTGTTGTTGTCATTAAAGCGGGACGGTCGTCACCTGCGTATGCACAGGAATTGAGTCCCAAGCAATGATGGCAACACACACTAAAAACGCAAAGACTCATGGGTAGACGCTTGTTTGTAAACATTGACATGCTATGGCCATCTGACACGTACGCAGGTGATGACTCCCCCACTTTGAATGTACATGGTACATGTTACTGTTAATAAAATAACTACTAGTTCTGATTGGTCAGCGACATTTGTTATCGGAATTGATGTCGCAATGCAACACCCTATTGGAGATGCATTTTTATGAGAAATCCTTTTTTCTCTATTGTAGGTTAAAGAGCGTCCAGATGTGGGTGTCTACGTTAAAGATTTGTCAGCATTTGTTGTAAACAATGCTGATGATATGGACAGAATTATGACTATGGGCAATAAAAACAGTAAGTCTCTTCAGTACACCGGTAGTGTGTATCCTCTGTTACAGTGATTAGATAAGAACTGATACATATACATATACAATTTGATCATATGTATACTGCCAAATCCAAGTTCAGTCACAGTGATTACCATATAGGCATTTTATATTTTATAATATCAGTTTTCAGTAGTGATATTAATCAATAGGTTGAAAGCTCCTAGTCAGGTGCCTGTTTGCAAGATGATTTTTTTCTTAGATTGGTGGTATGTTTTCAGCATGTGTATTTTAACTTTTCATGGACAAAATCACCATACCTGAAATTTTTTATCATAATTGTTGCTTAGAATTACTGCTGTAATATTCATAGTCACATACATTAATTGTGGGCTATGTAATTACAAAGCTGAAGAAATGTTAGACTTTAGCACTCGCAACAAGAAAATATGCCGAAAAGAGGACTTATGTTTATTATTTCACACAGTTCCGATTGATCTAGCGACTAGACTCGCTCGCAACTGCTACGTTTAGTGTACAATGTACGTAGCATACACAAGCACAAATAGCATCGTAAACATTCAGAATTTCGATACATTTCAGCACATGTAACTTGAAAATAAGTGGCTAGGACATCAGACTTAATATATTTCGCACAATGCAGATGTAGCTAGCACTCGCACTCACTCGCAACTACATACACATCGAAATTGCCACTTTGAGCGCTAGCAACTGACACGTTTTGCTACTTGCCATTTGCAACTGGTGTATTTATCCACCCTTACATACCTCACAGTTCTGGTTAACGACATAGTAGGGCTTGAACTTCACAAAAAAAGCAATTGCCTTCATTTTTTTTATTACCAGGGTATTTCCATATGCTAAATCCATTTTACAAATTGTGCCCTTACAAATGGGTGTGCCCCCTTGTGTAGATTGTTTGATGTGCTAGGTACATACTGTTAACTGTTTGGCTATCATTATTTGACAAATGTGAAAGTCTGAATTCGTGAGCATTCCCGGGTAATAATGAGAATTTGAATTACTGCCACCTGCAGTTATTCAGAATAGAAGTGAATCTCTGTGAATCTATGCATAACAAAACACTATTGGAATGGGAAACTAATATGATTGCCAGCATTCAGACATAATGAAAAGCATTGAAATTTGCTCAATTTCTAACTATCAAATATGTCACATAGTAGTAAAAGACCCTAATAAAGCTTTATGAATGCTCTTAGAATGCAATTTAGAGACAATTTCACAAAATGGCAAAAATTAGTCCAAGGTCCATAGCATTCGAAAAATCTTTTAAGTTGTTTTTAAATTACAGGAAGAGTAAAAAAATCTTTGAAAAGTCTTTAAATTTCTTCATACCATATCCTCAGAACTTTGATGAGCTTTGGTGATGATGTTGGCCTGAATTAAGGGTCAAAATGTCTTGGGGGGAAAAATGCAAGAAAGTTTGGGAAAAGGTCTGGAAAAGTATTGGAAGTAATTTGGCTCTTGGTGCTATGGACACAGGGTCCATAGTCACTGGCATCAAACAAAAATTTATAGTAGCAAAAATATAACATGTTTACAGTACCAGGGTACTCTGTGAATTGTCTGACTGTTATGAAATGGTGAAATTCTATGACTTAAACAATCTGTATATCTCTTTAATTCACTAGGATCAGTGGGAGCAACGGACATGAATGAACACAGCTCTCGCTCACATGCCATCTTTTCTGTCACCATTGAATGCAGTGAACCAGGACCAGATGGAAAGCATCGTGTCAGAGCTGGAAAACTGCATCTTGTAGATCTGGCTGTAAGTTGTCATTAGCTATATAAGTTTACTATGATTACAAGCAAGTAGTGTAAGTTGTCATTAGCTATATAAGTTTACTATAATTACTAGCAAGTAGCCAATGCATTTACTGCAGCATAAACATTACTTGACATATCAAAGGCTTCAAACTAAGTTTTGCTGACAATACAACTTAAAAAACTTTTATTTTTGATATAATAAAACTGACAATGGAATTATTTCTGAAATGAATTGTATAATTTTGCATCCTAGGGCTCTGAGAGGCAGTCAAAGACTGGTTCTACAGGACAGCGATTGAAAGAGGCCACTAAAATTAATCTCTCTCTCTCAACACTGGGTAATGTAATCTCAGCTTTAGTTGATGGTAGAAGTACTCATATTCCATACCGTAATTCTAAATTAACCAGACTACTACAGGATTCCTTGGGAGGCAATGCAAAAACAGTCATGGTGAGTAAGCACTTTTTCTCTCAGTCATTTGAAACATAAAACACACTTCTTAGAATTAAGCAATGGTACGGTGGTTAGGGTATTCGTCTTGCATCAGGGAGGTTGTTTATGCCGTATAAATCATTCTGCCCTGCCTTCCAAACAACTCGTTATTACCGGTAGGTTTGGAAGACTAGATTGCATGTGCTCTTCCAATTACCGTACTCGACGGCGTTAGCGCCCATGTTTGGGCAAACGCCCATCCCCCACTTTTGCGCAATTTTTATATTTGAGGTCACATTCGGCAAAGCGCCCACCCCTACAAAATGCAACTAATTTAAAACTTGGTCTTGCGTAACTAATCTTGGTAATCGTTTTTATATGATACAGTGTGGATATCGATCGCTGTGAACATGTTGTGAATGCGTAGAATACGATAACCATGTGTAAACTACGCTTCGACAATGACCTGTTAATAAAAGTAAAATGCGATAAATATTTCATGCTAAATTCAGTTTACCTCTCAAAAATGGCTAGTTACTAGTTTTTTGAAAAAAACATGTCGTTTATTCGCTGAAATCAATTCCAAAAGATCGTATCGATAATTCACTTCCGCATTGTGTTACTGGAAAGTCTTCGGTAATTTCCGAAGAATTGCGTCAGTCAAAACACAGCATTTTGATTAGTTAATAACCAACTTGACCCATTAGGTCAAAGGACGCTGCTGTAGGTCAAATCTGCAAATGCATCATGGTGGAAATAATATGACAATTTTGACTTTGACTGTGTTCCAACAGACTCAAATGTTTTTAATTCAGTAAATTATGGTGGTACGTAATTAATATTGTAATAAAATGTGCGTATTTTTTGTGATCATTTCTGTTTCTTCATTGTGAAAATCAATGATGATGCAACTAATTTAATAGTAAATTGATTTTCCCTCAAAGACGTAATTTGTCACTTGATGAATCAAAATTTTCATTTGCACTCTTTTTCGAGGGGGGTAAGCGCCCATCCCTAAAAAATCGTGATTTTCTGAGTTGAGGCCCCTGGGCGCTAACGCGGTCAAGTACGGTAAGTACCTGATACAACAAAGATAAGAGTTACAGCAGTGACATTGTCTGCTAATGTAGCCTGGCACAACAAATATTTGAAAAACAAAACAAAAAAATACACACTTCACCTCATAAATTGTGTGTTACTTGTCAGCATATGCACCACCCAGAAAAACACAGACAGATCACAGCACCCTTTGTTGACAAATTGATGAAACCTATGAAATTCATGCTCCAACACCACTCTATTGCAAAACCTTAGTATCTCTTCCTCACAACTTCTACAATGCTGGAAAAAGAAGAAAACAATTGCTTTAACATTTCTATTGCATATATTGTTCATACGTGTAAGCATGATAATTCATAACAATAGGGTACTCAACTACTGTTCTGCTGCACTGTTGTGTGGACTTGCTACTAATATTTTGCTTACAAACACATTATCAAGTGCATCTGCAAATAGCATATTACAATGGATGTTTACAAACTTTGAAAGACCACATGACATGCATACTGCTATCTCTTACAGTGTGCTAACTTTGGACCAGCTGATTACAACTATGATGAGACAATGAGTACATTACGATATGCAAACAGAGCTAAAAACATCAAGAACAGTGCCAAGATAAATGAAGATCCAAAGGATGCATTACTGCGTCAATTCCAAAAAGAAATTGAAGAGCTGAAAAAAAGATTGGAAGAAGGTAAAGACAAACAATAATTTCTATTTCTGATATCACAGACTGTTTCCATTAAGAATAATTTTGAACTATTCTGAAATTTCAAGATATGAATCGACAAGATAGTTGTAGTAGCCATTATACTTTTTTGAATTTTTTGAAAGAATAAATTAACGAGGACAAATTTATCAACTAACTTCTATTTCATATGTAAATTTGTCATTTTATTTGCTGGGGAGAACACTACTGTATTTGCTCACTTAGTAGTGTAGTAGTGATTATTTGAATAACAGAGATGTGTTCTTGGGCATAATTAGTCAAACTTTAATGATTCAATATATAGTACCTGCAACAGTTGGTTTACACACGCTTGTATTGGAGATGCTCTTTTAATAGACCGAATACAGTAATAATGATTGTATAAATTTTTTAGGGAAGAACTAAGGATGATGGTGCTGCACTTCCAGTCATGTCATGATGTTTCACCATAATATCTCCTTCATTTTTGTAGGTTATATTAGAAAAATGAATAGTTTATAGAATATTTATAAAATGTGGGAAATATTTAATTATGCAGAATGATAAAGCAAGACAATTGACATCATTTGTATGCCCTAGTACACCTATGATGGGGAAATAGACAATAGCAATATACATGCATAATTTTGTCAATATATTTTCAATAAAATTAATACAGATTTGTAGCCAATAACAAATTATGCAAGACAATGCATTACTGACTGAACATAGAGTGACTGAATAGTGTTTTTGCTATATTTGAAATTTGTTAATTTATCTCCATTCCCAAATAAACTTATTATAGAGTCTAGTATTTTGGAGTGAAAGATTATGGAGTTAAAATGTCTGTCATGGGCATTGTATACAATGCTAAGATTCAAATTTGATCTCCATCAAACCTGTAATTCATCTGAACAAGTTTTGTTTTGGTGGGCATGTTTGCTTTCATCAATTAATACAAGGTATTGCTAACAATTGTCTTAAGCTTGTATCATATGTTGACAGTCTTGTACATGGACATAGTGAACATTTACTTTATGACGTTTTGCTTCTAACCATTCTTTTCAGTATCTCAACATCCCATTACCAACTAATCTAACAAGTATTTCCCTTTCCATAATCTTTTCAATTTATTTCATGTTTTTGAATCGCTTGTCCTCGGATTGTATTTACAGACGGTACGATTTCTCAATTGCTGCTTCTTTACATGTGTGATAGCAAATAATCAAGCTTATTTTCCTAACTAACAAACCAGTTGTATTTTACATTAGAATATATTCTTTTTTTTAGAATTGTTTTTTTTTTTACTGTTTTCAACCTATTTTCACATCTCACCCTTTTACTGTCATTTTCAATCCTTTCTCCATCCTATGTCTCTCTCTCTTTTTCTTTCGTCACCGTTTCCTTCACAGAAAGCTCTCAGGATTCTGACTTTTCTGATAGTTCCGGTAATGTTAAATAGTTGTGTGATGTTTGTTATTATTTGCATGCAACTTGTCACATGTGTTTGCAAAGAGTCATTATGTGGATTCCACCTATATATGAATGAATATATACAATGCGACATGAAACCTTTTTTTTAAAATCTTGTTACTTCAGTATTTAGTTGCTAAAATTCTAAAGGTTGTGACTTTTATGTTGCTTTTCGCAAGTTGATGCTGGCTTAAAAATTAAAGAATTTTTGATTGGCTTCCGCTTACAATGTAATATGTTATATATAGCATGTCAGTTGCACCTTATTAGTTCAATATTAGTTGGACCTTCTAATTTTTGCTTAAACAATAATTTTATATTTTGTTCCAGGAATTCAAGCAAAATAAAAAAAAATAATCACATTAAGATGATGTCAATGTCTCATACTTTTGAATCTTTCCATATTTTGTTTCCATTTTTAACACTTTTTGACATCCCTTATCTACAACCACTAACTCTCCTATAGTTGTTACCACTCAAACAATATGATTAATTCTTTCTAATCAATTCAGTCATTTCCAAAAATAATAATTTGTACATGGTCCAATTAATATATACTAATTACGATATCAACTGACAAACATACTCACAACTTCCATTTTTGTCATTTTTAATTCTGTGTGATTAACTACAAATGCCAGGCTGCATATATTCATTCATTTGTTGTCTTTACACTGATTGTGAATCTTATTATACAATCCTTGATTTGTATCCTTAAAACTTGTATATAGTTTGTTCTAGGCAAATTATACCACTATAAAATCAAGCAGATTGAACATGATTTGTCACATGACATGATTTTAAGTAATTTTGAACAATACAATTGGCTAAGATCTAACGTGTGATATTTCTAAACTATTTTGAGCAAAGGATACATAATCAAGGAACATTTCCTGAAATGCAAAATTCTGATTTTCTGGAATACACTTTGATCTTATTGCTATTTAGGTGAGTACTACTCAGGGTCATCTGGTAGCGAGGAAACTGATTCAGATGATGAGGGAGAAGTTGGAGAAGATGGACAAGTGAAAAGACGAAGAAGAAAAAAGAAGAAAGGTAGATTCATAGTTTGCATTCTCTCTTAATCGTCAATCATGTCTAGACTGTTAACTTATAAAATAAACAAATATCATGCTGTTACTCATCAGTCATTCTTTATGCTTATTGTTTCATTTACAATTTGTTACCTCCACTATCATACTTGATTGTTTGTGGCAATTGTATTTGTCCACAAAAGTGTGCCCCCAAAACCTATTTATAGATTGTTCAGTTGAGAATGAAACTTATATTTGTTTGTTATATTACGTTGACATTCTAAGAGTGTGAAATTCTAAGGCTGAAAATGCTCCAAGGGGCTTAGATCTGAAAATGAGTTCTGCTCTTATTGTAATCATAGGCTGTGGAGAGTAGAGTCATGCTGTAATAGACAAAACCAACTCTAACATCAGAAAGATTGGGAGTCTGGTTTACTTCAGTCTGCAGTCTGTTTTCATGATGGCCATCAGTATAATCTTAGTCATTTCACACTTTAATCTGGTTTGCTGTCTCCATATCAATGTAAATTGACATGCTTGTGGAGATTCTACAGAACACAGGGGCAACAAAAACAAAAGACATTGCACATATAATCTCCTGAGGGCAGCATAACTTTTGGAAACAAATTATGATTGTACATCAGGTAAGAAAAATCTGTCTCCAGAGAAGATGGCGGAGATGCAGAAAAAGATAGATGCGCAGCGCAAGACATTAGAGGACACCAAGGGTATGGCAGAGGAAGAAAGAAACAAAGCACAGTCAGAGTTAGAAAAAAGAGAAAGTGAACTACATAAGGCACAGTAAGTATACAGCAGATATTACTGTTGGTTATTACATATAGTATGCATATCTACAGCAGAACACAATGAGTTGTATTAAACTCTACTATGCATCGCTTGACACTTGTCCTGTACTTCATCTTTGTGGTATCCACTTTCCTACAATTCTAGTCAAATTAAATTGTTTTCCTACTGAGCAATGCTTCATGCGAGACAACTTCATATTATATATAATGTGAAACTCACTAAATATTTGTATTCATTTCAATAATAATGAATGACTTTTTCATCCCATCAATAGATATGAAGATAATTTCACCATAGAAAAGAAATGATTCATGAATCAGATAACTGTATATAATTAAATAACAACAAAATCATTTATTAGAAATGTTTTTCTCATTTTAATACTACCTATAACTTGATGTGTGTACATGTTACTTTATAACTTTCTCAGTATTATGTATGCATTGAAACGCATACCAGGAAGTAGTGGGACTGGGGTGCAAGAATGACTCCTGCCTTTTTCATGGTTCAGTCCTAACATGTCAGTTTGTTGATATTCGATGAAAGGGAATCTTATTTTTGTAACATTGATTGGTACACCTGCAAGCACAATATCATGCGTGCAACTTAACGGTATGCATGCTTATGCTAAACACTGCATCTTTCACCTCCAGGAAAGTGGACTATACACCTGTCCTTGTTGTGATTGATAATAATTTTTTGTGGGGTTGTTAACTAGAGAATTTGTTATTGAATGTTAGTAAAACTTGGATTATAATTAATGAGATATCAGCCAAAATATTGCCTTTACTTGTTTACTCAATAATAACTACTGGTTATTAGTACCTGTTAAAGCGAAGTCCCAAAACAAGGACCTCAGTACATGCATGTGCATCCAGGCATCTGTGTGTTCGTTTGTATCCAGATTAAATTTTCTTTTTACAACTACTCATGCAGTTTCAGCTCTGTTACAAGCACATGTTTAGAAGCAAACAAAATTGCATTTAATGTATTAAAATATGACTTGTACTGACCATAGACACACCTATGTGATTTATGTAAGCTACTAATTGAACAAACATGGTGTGTTAAGGTAGAAGCCTAGTAAATCGCCTGACATTGTCTCATGGTACAATTAAATAGCATTATTTTGTGTGTTACAGTTAAGCTTTTTGAGAAATGTGTCCTAATGTTTCTTGAAAATTGCTATTTTTAGAACAATTCCATAGAACCCAATGTTAAAGAAAAATTTCATTTTTTGACACTTTTTAAAACCCAGATTCAGAACAACAAAAAGTACTCCATCATCAACAATTTATGATTTTTTCAGCCTATGTCACCAGGCTAGATTTTGATATACTGCATAATATCTCTGCCATAGCAACCTGTGGTAAAAGTGTTATAATAGTGTCAAAATGACGACTTTCCACTAAAATACAACCATCAATTTCTCGAAAAAAAGGCTGGTGGCCCCCAACTTTTTTTAGGTCAATATCCTTATATTGCCTTGGAGTACAATTTATTGCAAAATGAATAAATTCTGGGTATTTTAATTTATGAGTAGGCTTCTACCTTAAGTATCCTAAAATATCAGCCATGTTCAGGGACTGTCTAGCCTGCAATTTATAATATGTGACCCAAATATTACTCTTTCTTGTGGACCCTATATCTCAAGTAATGTCACTGTTGTTTTCAGACAAGAACATGATTCCTTGGTGGATAAACTGAAAGCCATTGAGAAAAAAGTAATTGTTGGAGGAGTTGATCTGCTTGAGAAAGCGGAAGAGCAAGAAAAGTTACTGGAAGAGTCAGCTAAGGAGTTGAATGAAAGGAAGCAGAAAGAAGAAGAAATGAGAAAACTGCTTCATGAAAAAGAGGTTAGTGGGTGATTCATTGATATGTGAGCTTGGTACATTTGTACTAAATCTGGTGGCATGTGTTTCTTATATATTTTGAAGCAATTACAATACTACATAATCTTTATGATGATTCTGTTATTTAGATACAATTTTACATGTTTTTCATGAGAGAATAGCAGCAGTAGAAATATCTGCAAAAATGCATCTTTTTTTCAGGATTTGTGATTTCTTATCAAAATGTAAACAAAGCCTGAAATGTAAAAATATATATGAAACTAATTTTTGATTTTGACCTTGATTCTGAGTAGTAACTTCTCATATTTGAGCAGTTCTGTGTGTATTTTTACTAACTGTATTTATGGTTTCACTTCCACATATATTACCATCACGTGATAGTCATCAAGTTAGTAGGAAAATGTATTGATGCTTTACAATGGCCATACAATATCAGTAATGGCATATTCAATTCAGTGGTGCAGTTTAACTTCTGCTTATTATGATGAAAGATTTGTTGTACTCATTCATACTGTGTTGACTTACAGCAAGAAAGAATGGACATAGAAGAGAAGTATTCAAATTTACAAGAAGAAGCTGCTGGAAAAACTAAGAAATTGAAAAAAGTCTGGACCATGTTGATGAGTGCAAAATCAGAGGTGAGTTTAACGGTGTGCAATACTGGTAATACCATCTTAGAGTACCGTATAACTGGATGGTTTGATCATGGGCAATAGATTCTGAGACAGAAGTATAGATATACAAGTCTTATTAACAAATTTGTGCTATTAACCCTTTCACCACCAGTTCCTTCTTTTCATCATAAATTCACAAAATAGTTCTGTTTATAGTCTGCACTTTCTTCAGAAGATTGGGACAAAAATAGCCAAATTTTTTGAGTGAAAACTGAAAATTGACTTAAATTTTGTCTGTTGGCTAAGGCAGGAAAGTCTGGTGGTGAAAAGGTTAAAAACATCATTGCCAATTGGTAATACCATCACATGTGTATCTTTGCAGTGTGACGTAATATAGAACAGATAATATTTCTGAAGGGGTGGTCACATTAAAACAGGGGGTTTATTTATACACAGGATTGCTCATATGTTATGCCTTGAAACTGCCTAAAAGTGGTCACTATAGACAGGTGGTCTTTATGTAGATGTGGTCACTATATAAAGGTTTAACTGTTTTGTGTTTACAGATGGCAGATTTACAGCAGGAACATCAAAGAGAGATGGAAGGACTATTAGAAAACGTACGTCAGTTGAGTAGAGAGCTCAGACTACAGATGGTAGTCATTGATAGTTTTATTCCACCAGAATTCCAAGATATGATTGAACAGTATGTACATTGGAATGAGGACATCGGTGAATGGCAACTGGTAAGATTTATTGATTTCTTTTGAAGATGCTTCACAGCCAATACTGCTAAAAACAAAGGCTTTTTAGCCTCCTGTTAAATTAAAAAATCCACCAGTCACCTACTTATTTTATATTTTGCAGTATCTCAACAATAAGCTCATACAATTAATCTTACCATGTGACTAAAATATCATATATTCTCAGTGGCGTAGCTATGTCAGAGAAAATTCTATGTTGCATGGACTGTACGATGTGTTTCCAGTGGCTCGAAAAAACGGCACAAACTCAACTTTGAGGCAATCTTGAGCAACCACATTGATATATGTTGCACATGTGGGAATGGTCATGTTTCAATGTTCAGGAAAGTCTGAACAACTAGACAGTAAAGCCAGTAAAGAACAGTTTTTGACCAGTGTTGTCACTGGTAATGATTGTCGTATAATGATATTGCACTGATGTTTGTTCTAGAGAATTGTAGAAAAACCATTAAAAAAACTACTGTTTGTTCATAGTTGCATGTATTTATAATTTTTGTGTATTTTTTGATAGAAATGTGTAGCATATACAGGTAACAATATGAGAAAGCAGACACCACTTCCAGATAATGTTAATAATAAAGAGAAGACGTATGGTGAACCTGATCTTTCTCACATCTATCTATCATACACTGGTGATCCCGTACATCAACAGAGAAATAAATCAGCTAGGACAGGCAGACCAAAGACTGGATCAGCAAGACCAAAGACTGGCAAAAAGTATGTAGTGGTCAAGTGCCAAGTTTGATTATTTCTGAATGTGTAATAGGTACAGGTAATCCCTGCAATATGATTTTGGATTAAAAGTTGATTATATGTGAGAGTTGCAGTAAAGACCACTAAAAAAGACAGACTGTCAGCACAGTATATTCTTTGGGGGTATGTGTTTTTCTTGCGTTACTTGTGAAATCAAACGTAAAAATAGGACAAGCAAAGGTTATAGTGTCATAGTCGTGTTAAAACATCCCAGGTATTTTCAAGCCTAATAATGCGCAATCCACATTTGATGACGGTAAATTTGATGAAGTAAGGGTATCTCAATGCCATATTCTCTTCTGAAAAATCAGCATTTTGACATTGAGCTATAGAAAACAAGATTCAAGTTCAAAATTGATCCTGCAAAAAACAGAATTCATGATGTCAGATTTGTACACATATTCCACACTGCACAATACTATATGAAGTGGCACACTCGTTTTGCAATGTAAAAAGTACTCATGTTAAGTGACCAAATAAATCTAGGAAATGACACACAAAGGGACACTGATGACCCAAGGACAAAAACACATTAAATGAAGGAATACAAAAAATGACAGGCATGGCATGTACAGGATCTCTGATAAACCAGATTGACACATTAAACAATAGGCATTGCTGGACTTTTTGTAGTAAAGGATTCATATGAACACAACCAAAACATTTTTGAACATGTTTTTGAAGTGTTTTATTGACAGATCAATTGTTTTCACTGCCAGATGTTTAATAACACTGTATAAGTATAGCCTTTATATACTAAAGTAGATGAAATCAATCTTATAAATTGTTTTGTTTCTCATTTACAGGAACAGAAAGTCAATGGATATAGATTCAGTGATTGCTCAGTGATGAGCTTTTCCTGGATCAACATGACATCATTGTAATACCCTCCATCTTAGAGCAAAGACCCAATCACACATATGAATAAATATTTGGAGTTAAACACATTAAGTTTTAGAACGCCATTGTTAGTATACTGACCATTGAGATTCTCACGAATTCATCCCATGCCCTGATACACTCATGATACTTATCTTAAAGGATAAGTCTGAGCAAACAACAGTGATTCCAGATGAAAAAGCTCCACAAATAAAGGAGAATGCAATTTACATTTTTTTTATATCACATTTTATTCTCTAGATATTTTCACCAGTATTATGTAGTCCACCATCTTGATTTTCCAGCAAAGGATTTTGGGTAAAGTATGACATCATATCCATATCATCATTTGTGGCTATGATGTCATATTTTAGCAATCATACTTTATGATGTTTGCGTGGGCTTTTCCTTTAAATAAAAGTAGCATGACATCAGCAGCTTGTTATCATAATATGGATGGTTTATATTGTCTTGTCACTTTATTGTAAATTATTTTTATGTTTAATTTATACATGCATGTGTTGAAAGCAATGGCAGTACAGTACTTTGGTTGTATGTGTGAAGCTGACAACTCATAAGTACACAGTGTATTGTATTGGTGTGTATATATTGGTCACAGTAATATAAATAAGTCAAGAGAAATGTCCTTGCTGTATTTCAGATAAAGTGAAGTATTTAATTCATGCTCCTGTGTGTGTGTTTTTAACATTTTCACAAATGAAAAAGTCATTTTTTTATTTTTCCAATCAACTGAACAGGAATTTATGTACCATTGTGTTTGGGTGTGTTCCAATTCAGTAGTGTTTTTTAAGGCGGGATAGTTGATTCATGTATTCTGTCAGTAGCTTGATGTTCACTTACCACTTCATGTGGAAGAGAAGATGTTCCATAATTGAATTCATGCCACTTGTGTCTTTTTTATTACCATTCACATTATGGTAATATGTTTATTATAGTGTATGGTGACTCTTAATGGTTACCCTTGAATTTCAAGTTAATATTTATTGATTATTGTCACTATAGAAGAGTTTTTAAACACTCCTGTGAACTGCAAGTATTTTGCCCTATGTCTATAAAGTTTGTTAAACATATACCAATATGTGATAACCTAAGTCTTTCTGAAAACTACTACCCCCCCCCCTGTCCCATGCATAACATTGTACCCCAGGTGCCTCCATCTGTTTTTTCAGTTTCTCAACCAGGTAGCAAACAGAGATAACAGATAAAGGCAGCTGGGGGTAATGATACTGGTATACGTAAACTTTACATTATGATCATGGTTTGTTATCTACATTTTATGTTATATGCCATATTTCTTCTATTGAAAGTGCTATGCATGAGTGAATTTTCTTCACTGAAGGCACACATACTTTAATGTTTGTTAACCTCGACTTTATCTATGCTCAGTTGGAAACTGAAGTACATCCCTAATAGATGAACTATGGTACATATTATTGCATTGCAATTGTTCTATAATTTATATGTTTAATATATTGAGAGCAATCTGTAGGGTCTGTTTTGTACATATATTAAAATCAACTTTGTTTTTTGATGAATAAATTATATTGTTTTTCTTGTACACAAGAATGCAACTGCAGTGTCCTATATGGTGAGATATTCATACAATGTCACTTAATTGGTTGGGGCCCATTTATTTGAGAAAGGGGTGGCCTACATTGTGACTGAGTGGATTTCAATTGTGGTGACTAGATAAATCATTTAGATATTTAAGAGGCTTTCAGAGTGAGATGTAAATTTAAAATGTTCAATAGAAATATATCAAAGAAACCGTGAGCTGGAAATGTAATGGAACAAATATAATGATAATTACTATTTGGAAGGGGAGTGGTTATCTAGTCTGGAATCCTGCCATTCAGAGTTCTCTTCCCAGTGCACTTGAGAATGGCCTGGCGAATCACTACGTGATTATGTAGATGGCACAGAATTCTGTGTCATCATTGATTGGCT